CATAAGAAAGCCTTTGATATGAATCACACAACAAAAGCAAAAATGTCTACAGCGTGGAAAAATTCACTTCTTGTTTTCAAAGCGCGCACGCTGTACTGGCATTACTGCGTAACGGTCCGAGTTATCACACCTCATATCACTACATCAAGTAAAAAGGCAGTGAAGTGCAAGATGAAGAAAAGAATATTCAGTCAAAAAGAATATAAAGTACGAAAAGAGAGAAAGGAAGCATGACAAAATGGTGGGATTCGGTAAAGCGTTAAGATGAGGATAATGTGTGTATACATCTGTGCCACTGACATCGGTTCTCAGACATATCACCTAGAGTCTCCAACCACTGATTTCTCTTGTCCCGCAGACCACAACCGACCAGTCTGCATCACCCCACATGACTCAGACCAACAGTCAAACACTTCGTACATTGATATCATGTTTTATTCTGGTCACTTCGGACCTTTTTCCAGCCTGGACCTACTTCGGTCAACATTGTATGACTAGGCATACGTAGCACGTGTCCCAGACATCTCAGTCGATGAAGGGTCATAACCGTGTCAACTGATTTATCTCTTCTCTATACCTGACTTCTGCGTCACTCACGTGATGACACCACGGAATACGGCCTATACTTCGAAGGCAACGGTGGTCAAACACATGAAGCCTTTTCATGTCTTCCACCTTCAATGGGCATGTTTCACAGGCATGCAGTAGAACAGAGCGAACTGCTATGTGGTACACGCGGGACCCTTAATAAACAATCGGATATCATGGCGGCGCCATAGGTGGTGCAAGTTGGCGAAAACAGGCCGGGCCTTTAGTATTCGTGCAGAGATTTCATCGGCCATTGAGCCAGCCACCAGGGCTGATTTTACTTCCCAGGTAAGTGAAGTGGTCGACACACTCAACCACAACGCCTTCTAATGTTAACCGAGGCACTGTTGAAGACCAATCCAAGTGCAACAGTTTGCATTTGGGTGATGAGAAACGCCTCCCGAACCTTCTCAAAGTGTTCACAAGACTCTCCATCCTGTCAGAGTCCTCACGTAACGGGACTATATCATCTGCATATTGTAGGTTTAACGAAAATCCTGCGATCAGGTCAACCTCTGTGTTGTCAGGTGACGTGAGGGAGACCTCTATAAGAATATTTATGGTGAATGTGAATAAGAATTCAGGTCGTGGGGTGCCTTGATGTACACCACTCAACGAGTACAGCTCCCCAGATATCTCATCATAGGCTCTAACCTGCCCACAAGTGTTCAAGTAGAGAGCTTTCAATAAGATAATGTACTTACTCGGCGCGCCTTTTAGTGAGAGACATTGCCATCAGACATCTCAATCAACAGAGTCAAATGCCGCTGCCTTCAGGTCGAGAAATACAGTTATTGTCGGGCGTCGGTAGGCGTGCCTATGTTCCTGAACCTGGTGCAGTGTGGATATTTGGTCGATACACCCGCGGCCAGGTCTAAAGCCTTCCTGGTTTTCTCGGGGTTGCTGTTCCCAAACTCCACTCAGGTGTCGAAGAATTATGGAACCTAGAATCTTAGACACTATGTTCGTCAGGCTGATTCCTCTGTAGTTATCACTAGAGAATTTCTCGCCTTTCTTGAAGACTGGGATAATCAGTGATTTAGACCAGTCAGAGGGGATCGTATTTGATTCCCATATACTAGTTAATATTCCGTTAACCTGACTAAGAGCACCCTACCACCATCCTTATATACCTCAAGAGTTAGTGCATCTGGTCCTGCTGCCCTTCCTCGTTTCAGGTTACCTACTGCTTTTTTGACTTCTGCTAGTGTTGGGGGCCTATCTCAATGTTCCATTCATTATCCGACTGGACAGCGGGCAACGCAGTGGTGGCTGAAAGAGGGTCACTTGACAGTCAGGAGGGACTATGTATACATTGCATATGATTTGAAAAGCGGTGTTGTGTTGCACTTTACTTTGACTCAAATCCGTTCCTAATGTTACGGTTTCACCGTCTAATCGGAAGTAGCGGCATGGTATCCTATTCATTGACACTACTGTGTAGTACAAATGCATTAGTGGATATGGATGAAACAGTGGGTGTATAATTATTATCCTGGCCAATACCTGCTACTTTGAGGTGGTCGAACTTGCATATCACAGGGATCCAACAAGCCATGCTGGTTGAACTTTCGTTCCCTCGAGGTCCCACCATATGAAAGAAGTCAGTTGGATAGTGATAAGGCAGGTGGCGTTTTGGTATAAATATCTACGCTACGATAAGGACCTGAAGGCGAAGTCGTACTGCTGGCAGCAGGAGGGTGACAAAATCAAAGTGTCTCCCGTGAATGGCCAGAGATAGCATGCTGATACTGCTTTCCTTATGAGGAGGATGATTAGAAAAAGTCAGCCCCAAAATTACCGTGAAGTATACTGGTCCTGGTGATATACATTTATAGTTGGTTTCGCATTAAACAAACCTAGCTATCAAACCTCTAAACAGGGTGTGTGGCTGGCCTCATATAAATGTCCCTTGGGCTCTCCGGTCACGCGTTAACTCCACTTTTACTGATACACAAAGAGGAAATAACCTTCCACGCTGTCGGCAGCTGGGAAGTGTCAACCACCCTCACAACTCGGTTAGCACTCGAACTCCCTCAGGTAAATATCCACCGTCTACATCCTGACCGTCTAATCTTTCACCTCTCTCGGTTAACATTCCTACATAATCCTAAGTTTGTTCCATATCAGGAACGCTCATCAACTATTTGAACTCACGAAACAGCATACCTGGTCTCCTGAAGATGCAATCTGAACTACACATTGAAGCTTTCAACTTCTAAAATATTCGTCAAATTAGCAAACAAGCTTTGCTAGCCAAAACTGTAGCATCACGGGTGACTGATATGTGCTGTATTTGTGAAACATGGATAATATCTCATTATGAAATCATTGTATATAAAAGAGGGGAAGTTAATGTTTTTACCCGGAGTTATATTCCTAAAGTCGATTACTTGATTTTGTTATTACAGTAATTTTGTGAGGTATAGGAAAAATTTCGTGAAAATCCTAGAGAAATGTTCACTCATTCATATAAAAATGGTAGCTGTACACAGCATTATTCCGATTAAAAGTTTTTAGAAAAAGTTCATGTGGTACAAACGTTTGTTGTATGACTTCATGTGAATCGTTCATCTATCTCCTTTTTACATTTAAAACGAACTAAGTTCGCAGTGGACATGATATAAAACAGTATAAGAAAATTATGAAGAAGTAAAAAAGATGTATCAAGAAAGAAAATACGAACTATTTATGTTTTTATTTGTTCTAATGTACTACGCGGGGATTACGAAAGTAAAATACACCCCATAGGGTGGAAAAATAATCAAAGAAGCAGTTATGTAGGATAAGTCTATGATAGCATCCATTACTTTCGTTTTACCTGTCGATATCCGGAGGAAAATGAAAGCTACAGAAAGATCATTGTTGGTTTGTTTCTAAGTCATATTTGATAACATCTCAAGCCGTCGTGTCTCATGATCTCTCGTACTCCAAACAAAGAATTATCATATCCCGACAAATGCTAGTTAGACAACTATCTCTTATCCCATTGGCGACAGATAACTTGCTTATCATCTTTGTTTCTTCGTATCACTTCCGTGACCTATAAATAAGCAGTAGGAAAATCACTTAGACAACATTCATAGTACATACCTAAATCACCAAAACAAGGGTTTCATGAAAATTCCTTTCAAGGAGTGACGATCTTGACTCAAAATGCACTTAGAAATGTCATCCATCGAACCTCCATTGGCCTTTATATTATCCGCTCAGGTGCATGAATGTTTTGACGGCTTCCAATAGTTCATCACTAAGGATATACATATATGGTGAGGATATTTCTCAATTTAGTTTCCCAAAATACTTATCATGCTCCCGGAAAATTGATCAAAAACTGTTATTTGAGTAACCCGTTATTGCATAGTAAAGTGATATCGTTCACATTCTTGCGATTTAAAAGTCTCTCCTAGAAACATATATACATCATCACTCAGGATTATGATTCTGTGGCTTAGGTACTCGACTTCCAATCAGTGGGTCACGGGTTTGAACCCTGTTCCACCTACTTGGGTTCGGCCAGCCAGGTAGCATAGTCAAGTCTAACAAAATAGGTTTGACTCATCGACTAGTGCACAAATATGCACATGGCTGATGTCACATACATACCACGCACGCCCTTCAGAGATGCCATAGAAGTATTGTTGATAGCAAAGTTAAAGTCTTGTCCAAAAAATGAAGGATTAATATCAAGAAATACGCAATTTTTGGCCTGAGATGTGTGGCGCTTATCAAGCATCTAAGCCTGCGCGTGGGGATCCATATGACCAATTCATCCACAAAATAAATGAAGTTCAAACTTCTTTTGAACCAGTTTCCTACGCGTATTGCAGTCGATGGTACGTGACAGAGTCAATTTCGAGTCGGTTGGTAGCAGGCGAATACCTCGATTTTCATCTCAAACACTGCATAAACTCGGGATAGCGTAACAATTCCAATTCATCATAATTTCTCAAGCATTTTAGTCGGAAAAGTAAACAGAGTCTCATTCTCATCCTTAAGAGCTGTGTGAGAGTTATCGGCGTCAGGTGCCTTATAGCATTTTCATACTTGAAGTCCGACTACCTACTCCAAGTCTGTGGAATGTTCAGTGAAAAGTTACATATACCCTGGAACACTGCTTAATTACGATGAAACTGCTGAGCAGGATATCTCATTCAGACCTGACCTTTTAATTATGACACTAGTTAGTGAGATTTTAGTCATTTTGGTGACTTGGCATCACATATGTTACTTCAAAATCAACACTGAAATTTCAGGTGGTTGGCTTCCTAACAAGAATCCATTTATCGGTTTTAATTTCTGGATAGTTGTAATTATTCTTAATCCGTCCTTCATCAGATTTTACTCTATATAATACTTGACTTTACGATTATAGATCCTTTTACTGATCAAACACTAACTTGTTGCCAAAGATGAATGCTTTCTTAACTGCATTCAAACAAAAGCCTCAGGAAAGTAAACAACGTGTAAAAAGTTCAAAACATATTCCCTGGGTTGAAAAATAGTTAGTTTTGTGTTAGATAATTATTTTTAGCCGACCGAAAACAATAGATGAAGTCGCATACCAAACAGAAGTTGTCAATGTGCTTCAAAAATGCATTGAAGGATCTGATGTATGTTTTGTTACTGGTTGTTTAACTCCATTTAGCTACCAAATCTACTTTTTTATGGGCCGCCAGGAACTGGGAAAACATCTCTGATAATGGCTTTAGCTCGCCAACTATTCGGGTAAAGTGTTTGTCAAAACTATTAAATGTATTTCGTGTATTTTTTAGTGTAGTCTAATAACTTATTAAGATGGTGAAGTGGAAGGAAGTTGTCCAAATCTTGCATTTTCAAGCCTAGGATAAACTAGGCTTGACATTTTCATACACTTCTTTATAAAACTGGAGTTTTGAAATTCGAGTAAGCTGAGGATAGTATTCATATCAAAATGACATCAATTAAAGACCCGAAACTAGAAAGTATTTGATAAATATTTTGTGTTAGTATATAACTCTTTTGCTCCATTCTAAGGAATGAATACCAGAACCTTACAGGTTTCTATTGGTAATATCTCGTTTCGTCGTCGTTTTACTTCTTCCTCTCTTTTCATGAATTTCCATCACTTTTAATCACCTTTTTCCTCTACCTTTCATCTTACTCCCTTGAATCTTGATGTGAAATATGGCAACTTGGATCGTTATGGAGTAATACCAAGTCCAATGCTGGAAGCCTATTGAGTCGGCAGTCCTTGGTCTGTATTCTCTTGTTATGATTAAGTAGCTTTCACTTCAAATTTAGTTATGCATTATTTTTTTTGCTCGATAACTTCTTGGTTACATGTCATTGTTCACAGTTATACCAAAACGTCATATGACTATTAGCATACCGTTGTGTACGGAATGTTGCATGGCAAATAACGCTCACAATATGCGATACCTAAGGGAAAATATAATACCATATATGGTAATATATAGCATGCATTCTATTCACTATGCACAACAGTGCTCAAAGTTTTGTTACTATGCGTAATTAGGAAATTTCATTTCTAAAGTGATGGGCCAGTCGTAATTCGCAGGTTATTTGTGAACTCGCACATTTTTGAGATTTCATGTTGGTACTTACTATGGACTAAATCCATTTGAAGAACCGTTGGAAACCTGGGAGCACTGGATAGCTGTTTCGCCCTAGTGTAGGACTCAGCAGTGGACACCCATGACCCCGGACAGGGATCGAACCCAGGACCTTCAGGTTCCGCCACCAGCACGTTACCATCGAGCCAATGAGTCGGTATCCAATAGTCCATATTTCCTACTTCTATCGGTTCACGATCTAGCGCTGTTTCCACCTGATGCCGTGGTTTTTTGATGTAAGTGGTTCATAGTAGTTCTTCAACTGTCGTTAACAAAAGAAACTATTTTCGAATTATGAGCCTACTTGTTTCTTTGTTTTATGCTAATTTCATTCGCTACAGTTGTACAACTGAAATTTTGCACACCATAGGTTATTTTATTAAACATAGTAACATCAGGCAGAGTTAAGCGAAAATCATAGAAATTAACAAAAATAATGCAATTCAATCTGGTACTTGTGTTTAGGTACTAGGCTATGAGCCACATGTTTTGTGTGGGGATCAGCTTGTGTTATTAACCGGTTTCCAGGGGTGAATGACATGGAACGAGGCAAAAGCCTGGGATCCATTGTTCGAAAGTTGAGTTGCTAAGCCAATGAACAGCATCTCTGTAAAGCTTTTAGTTTAGCACGTGGAAGGTTACGGAAAAAAGTATGTGATTCATTGTGTTTGTCCACCGAAATGGCTCCGAGTACTTCTAATTCCTAATACCAACAACAACAAAATTTCCTGTCATAAGCCATTTTGTCGATAATTGGTTGGAGATTGACAGAATACTGATGAAATAAAATGGTAGTGTAGGTTTTGAGGAAACGATAAGTGCTCACATGACTGAAGCTATTATCTAACTGCACTTTATTCATGATTATCGTCAAAACTTAAACTGAGTGAGGATAAGGAAGGTTCTCAGACTAACCACTTCGTATCATACATCGTACGTTTAGCGGAATAAGACTGTTACAGAAAGTTAAAATAGTACGAATAAATTATAATCTACTTAATAATATATAGTTAATTAAGAATGTAATTGGTTTGTAGACAACCGACAACTTATCAGGCGATGTAAGAATACATTTTTGTCCACTGTGAGACTTTCATATTCATTTCGGCAAACTTGACGAACTGTATTCGTTCGACAATATTACTGATTTTTCACAATTCGCTAGCAAAAATTCTGTAATATTTATTTATTTCCATCCTTGTTGTTGTATCCAATAAAATAATATATGTAACACATGTTTTATAGACATATCACCTTCCAACTTGCCTATGGTCTAGTGAAAATTATTGAAGAAAACAGTGGTAATGTTTTTATGAAAGTAAAGCGTTCATCTTCATTCTAGACATAATTATCGTATAAACTTCAGAAGTGAGCTGTGTGAATTTCTCTACAAACGACTTAGTAGCTTGTCCGAAACAAAAATGCCATTCTTTTCGAAATGATATTGTATTCATAACGTTAACATGAGACTGATTTATAAATATAACGAAGGTTTTTCTATTCACGTTTGTATTCTTATTACGACCGTATTTCTCTTCAACTTTACAATGTTGAACTTGTTTTTTCCACACTTGATATACATTGTTTTTCAGCCCCCTTTATTCCGAGCGTGTTTTAGAACTGAACGCTAGTGATGAACGAGGTATCAGTGTTATTCGACAGAAGGTGAAAGCGTTTGCCCACATTGCTGTTAGTGGGTCTAACTTTGGTTCTGGCCAGCGTAATATCCCACCGTATAAGTTAGTCATCTTGGATGAAGCTGATTCTATGACAGCACCTGCACAGGTAAACCTTTTATGCTGATTTTTTGTGAGTATCTGGCTTTCATTATTCACTTTAAGCTGTTTTTGTACTGTAGATATTGGGTGCAGAACAGACAAAATCAACGTAGAATCTAGCACAAAAGTGTATCGATCCACACTGTCACACTTCACAGTAGCATGTAAAGAACAGCTGAACAGAAAAGATTGATATCAAAGTAGACTGAACCAAGCATAAGGAGAAACACTGTCTCACACGACGTCCGCCGGTGTCAAACTAATGATGGACACAGATAGCTCATATTGCAATAAGCCATCTTTAGAGAGGATTAGTAGAGGATTGGTAATCTTTCTGGAGTACCTGTTTGGACTCGCGTTTTGTTTGAGAACTGTGAGGCGTACAAAGTGAGTGAAGAAGACAGTTATCCTTTGACAAAATATCTGTTGCCAGTTGTATGTGTAAATTAAGTCTGTTCAAAACAGTATCGATTAGAAAAGTTCGAGACACGCAGCTACTTCTGCTGACTCTTCTCAAAGTCATGTACAATGCAGCATAGTCTTTTTTCAGCAAGCTAAGAAAAAATGAGGGGGAACAACAGAGAAAAATAGGCAGGGTGCAGCAGTTATAAAATAACGGAATAGGCTGTTTCGCTAGAAACTCTCAGTTTCCTAATATAGTAAGAGGAAAACTTGGTAAGTGGTTAAGATATGAGACGACCAAAAAGATCAAGGGAAAAACAAAAATTGAGATAGATCATACTTATTACATTCTCCAATGCTCAGCCATCCATAAGACAAGAATTATGCGACTGAAGCAGTTTTCACTGGTCATATTTACGCCTGAACCTCAAATTGATTGTCTGACATTTTAAAGAATTACCCACAAGACCACCCATAAGGAATACCATTTGATCGAATTTGGGAGATCATTTAGTTGTGCATAATTTGATAACAAGGTGAGAAATGTGGAGACTTTCAGGCCATTAGCATACTTAACATTATTGATTCTGGATAGAAAAAGCAAGTCTTACAGAAAGAAAACGATAAAGGGGGGGGGGAAGAACATTATCTTAGGGATGATCGACAACGGTTTTTAATGAACTGTTTTTCTGTACCTGCTTCCTTCAAGACTTATATTTCGAACGCTAATAGTTGTTATACATATTCCGAAACGAATATAATACGCGCGCTTAGCTGACAGGTAACTTAGTACGCAAGGGCCACTGACTGCAACCCCGGGACGAATAGAGAGAAGACCGAAGCTGGATGGTGGGAGAGTTTGTTACTCCGAGAATATAACAATCAATCCCCAAACACGTGAATAAGTACGCACATGAAAAATGACCTTGTCGTCAATTTGAGACAGGCGTAGTAAGAGTGAGATTAACCAATCAGCGATTTACACCACAATGGGGGCAGGAAATAAACTACTAGTCATACCGTAAAAAATGGTATGAGAATGACTCGTTAAAATGTTCAGATCAATAACAATGTTTTATACGAAACTGAGGTCTTACACCAGACACCCAGCATTTTTCCTGGCTTGTTTAACGAGAGAGGTCTTAGGACTAAATCATATCGGAAGTACGTTCCAAATCGTTACACGTGATATGCTTGGGGCCTCTATCTGGACTACAAAACGATGTTGTGATATAAAGCACTGGTGCCATCCAAAATTCTTTTTTTTTATGCTTGTACATAATTAATGAGGATCATGAAGAACCTTTAATAAAGTACAAGCACATGTAATACCAGTTTTTCAATTGTTCTTGAGAATGAAAAAGTAACTGCGATCGGTCGAGATTTAGAACACTTTCCAGAAGATACGAACATAGGTACAAAGAATATTTTAATATCTTTCCAGGCACTTGGTACAGCTTTATTTGAAACGATTCACTAAAAGTTATTTTTTGTCCTTTGTGTTCCTAGTGGGACATAGGGCTTCAGTAGCACGTCGCCATTTCACTCTGTTCTCTGCAATCTTTTTAACACGGCCCCACGTCTGTCCAAAACCTTTCATTTCTTCCTCGCCTGATCTTCTCCATATCACCCTCCGACTCCCAACTGATCGCTTTCTCTATAGGTTCCACTCGTGGGCTTAGGACATGATGTCCCCAATCCGTCTTCTCAGTGGTTGAGCGTGTCGACCACTTCACTTACCTGGGAAGTAAAATCAGCCCTGGTGGCTGGCTCAATGGCGATGAAATCTCTGCACGAATACTAAAGGCCCGGCCTGTTTTCGCCAACTTGCACCACCTATGGCGCCGCCATGATATCCGATTGTTTATTAAGGGTCCCGCGTGTACCACATAGCAGTTCGCTCTGTTCTACTGCATGCCTGTGAAACATGCCCATTGAAGGTGGAAGACATGAAAAGGCTTCATGTGTTTGGACCACCGTTGCCTTCGAAGTATAGGCCGTATTCCGTGGTGTCATCACGTGAGTGACGCAGAAGTCAGGTATAGAGAAGAGATAAATCGGTTGACACGGTTATGACCCTTCATCGACTGAGATGTCTGGGACACGTGCTACGTATGCCTAGTCATACAATGTTGACCGAAGTAGGTCCAGGCTGGAAAAAGGTCCGAAGTGACCAGAATAAAACATGATATCAATGTACGAAGTGTTTGACTGTTGGTCTGAGTCATGTGGGGTGATGCAGACTGGTCGGTTGTGGTCTGCGGGACAAGAGAAATCAGTGGTTGGAGACTCTAGGTGATATGTCTGAGAACCGATGTCAGTGGCACAGATGTATACACACATTATCCTCATCTTAACGCTTTACCGAATCCCACCATTTTGTCATGCTTCCTTTCTCTCTTTTCGTACTTTATATTCTTTTTGACTGAATATTCTTTTCTTCATCTTGCACTTCACTGCCTTTTTACTTGATGTAGTGATATGAGGTGTGATAACTCGACCATTACACAGTAATTCCTGGTTATATGTTAATTTGGATGGATGCACCATACTTACAAACAGAATACAAAAGTGGTTAAAACGACAATGACATTAAAGTAAATCAAAATATACAGAGAACTGAAAACATAGATAAACGTTGGCGAAAAATGTTCAAGACTTCAAAGACCGACGAAAAGTGTATATATCTGCATCATTGTGACCGACTTTGAGCTATGTCACAAGTCTTCAACTGTAGATTCCAGTCACGTTGAAGATCCCAACCACGGAGGCCACCTCGTTAGCATTTGCAAACTTGCGTCATATGTGGCTCTGGTGAGATATCTGACTATCTAACAAAGGACGAGTTTACTACGCTATTGTCTTTTGTGTCCTGTTATACGACTGTGAGAAATGGCTGTTGAAAGAAGAAGACATGAAGCGATTATAGGGTTTTGATCACAGATGTCTTCGTGGCATTGCTTGCGTTCAGTGGGATCACTCGTGACCAATTTTGAGGTCAAGTGAAGGATACTAAGCAAACCAGTCAGGTCGATTGATGAGGTTGTGTTATGACGGTTTGAACTATTTAACGTAGATTCTTGTCTTTTTAATTTATATTTCCGAATATTTAGGCTGCTTTACGTCGCACAATGGAGACTGAAATGAAAACAACTCGTTTCTGTTTAACGTGTAATTATGTGACGCGTATTATTGAACCGATTACAAGTCGTTGTGCGAAATTTAGATTTCGTCCATTGGATAATGAAATTGCTCGTGCTCGTTTACGACATATCTCCGATGCAGAAGGCTTATCTGTTACAATGAAGTAAGAAATTTTCACATAAGTTAATGCTATATATTTATTTTATTCATATGGATAAGCTAATTACCGTATAAGATGTATTGTCATCTGTTATTTCTCTTTTTTAGAAATATTCGCTTCACGAAACCATTTTTCGTAGCTTCACCTAAATATCATGGTAACTGTTGGATTTCTTGCCTTTCAGTAAACAAAGAGTTTTGCAGAGTTTTCCAATTAATTGTAGCCCGTGTAGACTTGATTGATTTTAAAGAGCAAACTGAGCAGCATGGAAATTTGTACTGTTATAATATATCAGTTCAAATTTCTTATCTCCAAGTCACGCCGCAGAAGAAAATTGTGGGATGAACCGAGGGCAATTATTTTTAGCTAGAAGTAAAATAGATGTGCTATTATTTGTGCACTGATTAGGAGATACCGTGACCAGCTTTCAGGATTTCGAAATACGGAATTCTAACATTGTGTGAACTTCATCTCCTAAGCATATAATCAACCATACAACTTGGAATTCAGTCACATACTTTGTGTTTCGCCTTCATATAGTTTTATCATCTAAAATACTTTTTTATGTATCCCTGTTTAGGCAATGAGTATATTAAGCTGTGGTTAGACATACCAAGTCATACTTTATTGCCTCAGTGAATTTTAGCCTTTAAAACCGTTCATTAATTTATCTTCTGTTCTCAGTGGCAACATTTCATACTCTTTTAATGCATTTCACGTTATTGATGCTTAGGATACAGTGATAGTAAGTATATTTAGTTAAACTATTTCTTGTCTGAACGATCATATCTCTTAACTGGGAAGAAAACTGAACCTAAAGGGTAGTATAATCAGCGGCTGAGAGAAATTAAATTAAGCCAGAGTGGCATACACCAATCTGAGCTATCTTTAACCCAGTCGCGACGTTAGCCTGACCGTTAAAGGTCAGGTTTACATGACTTCAGTGCGAGTAGTTATACTCTGCACCTGTGAAATCTGACCTCTCTGAGCTGAAGATGTGCTACAACTATACGTGTCCGATCATCGTTGTCTCCGTTGGATTGCCTGTATCCGGTGGCAACACCGTGTAGGTAATTCTGAGGTACGACAGCATGTGTTTGAGCATGATGGTGGAGGTCGTCGTTCAATAAGTGAAGTCATCTGGAAACACTGGCATTGGTGGCTTGGATATGTGTTACGCTTGCCATCCAAACTTGGTATGAAGGATATTTGTACCACGTTTAGCATTTGTTGGTGCATCACGACTTCCTGGGTGCGGTCCGAGAGACCATGCAATTCAATGGTTTCAGACGTCAAGAGATATGGCACAGGGTCGAAACCAGTGGTGGCTATGCTGTAGCTTCGTTTGATCTTCTGCCGCTGAAAAGTAATGAATGTTTCGTTTGAATGTATCTAATTGGACTGGCATTCTACTCATTCTATTCTTTTAATGTTTTTCTTTTTATTTATCCGATTCCCTTCGCTTTACATCTTCGTAATATTATTATATTATTTTGTGTGTTGCATTTCTTGGTCCTCTTTTTGTACAATGTTTGTGTTATAATAAATGATGATAATGATAGTAGCAAAAATATTAATAGTGAATTATAAGTTATCCTAGTGTTGTTAAAACCGTCAACTACTAGACGACTATTGTATAATCATTACTGTTTATTGACATATTTGTTATTCTCTGATGTTATTGTATAATCACACTGAAATATCAGTGACTGGAAATCTAGGGAATCTCACTTGATTTCACAGTTAGTAGTCAATTTGACCAAAAGCTGATACCTTGGCGTGGTAGTCAGGCTTATATATAACATTGCCCAGTGACCTACACTAACTGGAACGATACCAGATAGTTTTGGATAGTGATAAGACAAAAGTGGTTACCATTCCGGTGTCAGTTTCTGCAATATGATGGGGGGGGGGGGGGCGGAACTCGTACTGCTGGCCAGACGGGTTATAAAGTGTTTCTCTTGGATGACCAGCAGTATCGTGCTGATGCTGCCTTCCCTATGGCGGGAATGTGGTGGTTAGAAAATGTCGGCACAATGGAATCTCAGTGCAACAATGTTTAATAGGCCCCAAGTAAATGTCCTATGGGGTCTATAGGGACGCAAATCCATTAATTTTTCTCTTTCAGATACTCTGTAGGAACAACCCTACGGTGTATGCAGCCGGAATTGTCGAGCGTCTGCACACTTCCAGGGGTATGCAAAACCCGAACAGACATAGCCTACCCTCCTTACTTTTGTCTTCTGCCTGCCTTTGCTACTTAATACCAATATTAGGCTTCTTATAGCTTTCTCATCCTCTCATTATGTGACCACTGCCAACGTAACAGCATTCTCAGCATCCTAAAACTCCGCTGTCGATTTCACACTGGAGCAATCAACCCCATACCAAGTCTCTTGCTGAAACTCTGAAATCACGAGTCATGGATGTATACTGTGTTTCTGAGGCATACATACAGTACCGCAGAGGGACTGTTCACTTGACCTTACCCTACCAATGTGGTGAGTCTGCATCATTCAATTGACGAGTGTCTGGGTGTTTAGTAGTTAGCTCTCGTGAACTCGCTGGTGTAGGTATAGTATCAAGTTGTAGGGGAGAAAGTGCAGTTGTCGATTGAATACCAGTGTAGCGTCACACCTGAACCAGCAAACAGCGGCCTGTATATTGTCCGACTGAATTTATCTGTAAGAACTGGGACGAGTTGTGACATCTATTCGTAATCTCCGTCCACACACTCACTGACTGCACTCTAGATGATGCAAAAGATGTATTCTGTCAAAATCTGTCTATTTCCTACAAGCAAAGAGATCGTAGGTATTTTTGACCACAGGTATCACCGTATGAGCAATGCCGAGGTTAGGCAAAGAGTACTAGCCAAACAGCTAAGTCATCCAGTCGACGAGGTTGTTTAACCTTCACTGATTGAAGTACCCTAAGCGTGTTGTGCGTGCCGCGGCACGATCGACGTGCGATGTTAGCCGAAGTTGAATTATGGTGGAAGAAAACCCAGGGTGGCCAAACCATGAAAATCTGTGTCTCTTCGTTTAAGATGTGTATGGAGTTATAGACTACGTGGATGGGATCCTCGAAATGATAAGAACCAATGGTTGGAGACCGTTGGTGACATAGCTAAAAATCAGTCACAATGGTGCAGATGTATTTACTGTCTGACATCCTTTAAAACCCGAAGATCTTTACAGACCTTCATTTTCAACTTCCTTTTCTTCGCATATGCCTTTGTTTACTTGATATCACTTTTACTGTTTAGCTTGCATGCTTGTATAAAGAGTGACAATGTGAACCTATAAACTTTTGTGGGGGGGGGGGGTTACGTCAGTTTTTTCTGTCAATCTCACGGTATTAAACGCACTGCACCACATCATTCCGTGTGAAGTTTGGAAGTAGTAGTGCTGGAGACTTGTTCGTATTTTACTTCTATGTAACATTTGGTAGGTGATAAACGCATACCACTCAAGTTGTTTGAGGAGTTTTTTCCCTTTTTCGAAGTGATTAACCAACTGCATTATTGATCATAATGATAATAATGATCTGGCTTTCATAATGTGTATGATTCCTGTCAAGGAGTAGGTGTAGTTGTTAACTATAAAGTGTGGTTAGTGTACCGCAACAGTTTTGCGTAAGACGTAACACTGTTATTGGTGTTTACTGAATAGAAACTGGGTCGATATCATAGTTTGGAAGCCCAAAAATACTACTCATTTATAGAGAAAACATTGATATAATCGGTGTGATTTGTGAATTACTTTTAAGTCGTTATGTTGGCATTTAATTATCATAGGTGTATTTATTTGTGTATTCATTGTGAGTATAAGGAATTATCGCGGGCTTAACTAGGAAAGGTCTATTAAACAAGTGTATTGGCATTTGATACCTAATAGTTATTGATCCATTCTAAATTGGATAAATATTTGCTAATATCAACTTAAACTGTAGAACCGTGGCTCATCGGTTCAGGGAGATGACTTTCAACCAACGGAGTCGAGCTCCGCTCCACCTATCGAGGTTTGAGCAGCCGCGTAGTACTAATAACTCTCACACAATAGATGTGGCTCATTGTCACTTCACGAATATGCACAAGGTTGGTGAGCGCATTTTTATTTCAAAACTGCATGTATGGATTTAAATGAGCTTAGGACAGCAGCTACTTTGGCTGGACGAAGAGAAGTAGTTCAGTTCTCTTAGCAAATTCCACTCCACAGAATAACAAGATTCTAACCATTTCTATAAAAAGACATTAGAAATCATCATCATCATTATCAACATAGGACCAGGCATTACTGCGTAACGGTCCAAGTTGCCACACCTCATATCAGCACATCAAGTAAAAAAGTAGTTAGGTGAAGGATAAAGATAAGTGAATGCAGTCAAAAGAAATATAAAGTACGAGAAGAAAAGAAAGAGGAGTGACCAAATGGTGAGGTTCGGTATAGCGTCGTTAAGATGAGGATAATGTGTGTATACATCTGCGCCACTGACATCAGTTCTGAGCCATATCACCTAGAGTCTCCAACCACTGGTTCCTCTTGTCCCGTGGACCCCAACCACCTAGTCTGCATCACCCCACATGGCTTAAACCAACAGTCAGAGACTTCATGCATTGGTGCCATGTTTCAGTCTGGCCACCTCGGGCCTTTTTCCAGCCTGGACCCACCTCAGCCAACATTGTGTGACGAGGCAATCGGTGACTAGGCATACTTAGTACGTGTCCCAACCATCTCAGTCGATGAAGGTTCACAACCTCGTCAACTGACTTACCTCTTCTCCCTAAAACTCTACACCTGACTTCTGCATTACTCATGTGGTGACACCACGGAACACGTCCTATATTACGAAGGCAACGGTGATCAAACACCTGAAGCCTTTTTGTATTCTCCCATTTTCAGTGGCCATGTTTCACAGGCATATAGTAGAACAGAGCGGGCTGCTGTGCAGTACACGCGACCCTTAATAGACAAACGAATATCATGGCGGCGCCATAGGTGGCGCAAATTGGCAAAAGCCAATCTAGCCTTTTGTATCCGTGCAGAAATCTCATCGGCAACTAACCCACCAGGGTTGATCCTACTTCCCAGGTAAGTGAAGTGGTCAACACACTCAACCACTTCACTCTCTATTGTTAGCTGCGGTACCGCTGAAGACCAGTCCTGGAGCAAAAATTTGCATTTGGGTGGTGAAAATCGCATCTCAAACATTTTCAAATTCCCACTCAAAGTGTTCAGAAGACTCTGCATCTTGTTAGCGTCTTCACCTAACAGGACTATGTCATCTGCATATTCTAGATCTAAAGAAAATTCACCTGTGATCGGGTCAACGTCTGTGTAATCAGGTGACGAGAGGGAAACCTCCATAAGAATATCATGATATCTATGATAAAATTAAATAAGAATGGGGATAGTGGGCATCCTTGACGGACACCACTTGATGAGTATAGCTCCCTGGACAACTCGCCATAGGCTCTAACATGCCCACAGGTGTTCGAGTAGAGAGCTTTCAATAAGGTGATGTACTTACTAGGCACGCCTTTCAGTGACAGACATTACCATGAGACTTTTCGATCAACGGAGTCAAATGCTGCCTTCAGGCCGAGAAATACAGTTATTGTCGGGCGTCTGTAAGCATGCCTATGTTCCAGGACCTGGTGCAGTGTGAATATTTGGTCGATACATCCACGGCCAGGTCTAAAGCCTGCCTGGTTTTCTCGGGCTTGCTGTTCCCGAGCTCCACTCAGGCGTCTCGCCTTTCTTGAAGACTGGGATGATGAGTGACTTAGACCAGTCAGAGGGGATCGTATTTGATTCCCATATACTGGCTAACACTTCCGTTAACCTGACTAAGAGCACTCTACCACCATTCTTGTATACCTCAGCAGGTAGTCCGTCTGGTCCTGCTGCCCTTCCTCGTTTCAGGCTACCTACCGCTTTCTCAACTTCTTCTAGTGTTGGGGGACCTGTCTCTATGTCCCATTCAGGGTCCGACTGGATAGCGGGCAACGCAATGGTGGCTGGAGGCCAGTTAAACTGTTCCTCAAAGTGTTCTGCCCATCGTTCCAGTCGCCTTCCCTGCGAGTGAATCGCCGATCCGTCCTTCTCCGCTATAACCTCACTAACTGTTGTTGACCATTTCCCCCCAGTCTCCTTAATAAGTCTAAATAACTGTCTACTGTTACCGATCGCCGCTGCCTTTTCCATCTCTTTAGCCTTTGCTGCCCACCACTGTTCACGATCGTTGCGCAGACTTTTCGTCAGTTTATTTTTAAGTTGCGCTCGCTCTTCATTGTACTCAGAGCCTGCAGGGATGCATTCACGTGCATCCATTAGTTTGGAAGAAGCTGCTGATATCCACTGGCTCTTTTTAGCCATTATCTTGGAGTCGGCTACAGTCTCCAGTGCTGCTTTTACAGTAGACTGAAGATGGCACCAAGCTTCTTCTGGATGAGTGACAGTCTTTTGTTCCGATAACTGCCTAGCCAACTTCTCACTGAACACGGCTTTGGTGTTTTCGTTGTCCAGCAGAACTCGTAGTGGTTTTGTTGCCAAATTTTTTCTACGTCCATTGAGACGCAGGCATATACGTGCTCGGACCAACGCATGATCGCTGTCCAAACACGTACTCCAGAAGGAGCGGCAGTCTTCCACCGATCCTCTCCAGCGATGACTAATAGCAATGTGGTCTATCTGTGTCCATCGCTGAGTCGAGCTCGGTGGACGCCAGGTCAGACAGTGCCTTTCTTTATGTCTGAAATTTGTGCTGGCTAAAAATAGGCGGTTATCTGAGCATAGTTGTAATAGGCGATCACCGTTATCTGTACGTTCAGCTGGGATTCCGAAAGTGCCACCTAAGTGCCTTTCTGCCTCACTCAGTCTACCCACCTGTGCGTTGAGGTCACCTGCAACAACCACTACGTCCGAACGTTTGGCTTTCGAGAGGAGGTTAGACAGTTTATGGTAGAACTCGTCCTTCACTTCATCCGAACTACAGTCAGTGGGTGCGTAAGCAGAGATTACAAAGAGACAACGGCGAGTCTCACTATTCCTTTTAGTTCTCACTGTGCCGTTCAGCCTCATAGCGCAGAGGCGACTATCAACTGGGATCCAGTCTAGTAGTGAGTTTTCTGCCCTGGTGCTTAATGCTATACCTACACCTGCAAGACCACGAGAGCTAGCTATCGAATCTCCAGAAACTCGAAGGGTGAATTTTGCAGATTCACCAGATTGGTCAGGAGAGGTCAGGTGAATAACCACACTTGGGTCCTGTATGCGTGTCTCACAAACACAGCACACATCCATGCCTCGAGTTGCTAGAGTCTTTGTTAACGAAGCCTGTTGGCCAATTTGACGGAGGGTGCGGACATTGAAGGCTCCAATATGTAATTTGGAGCGTGGTTTAAGGAGACCAGGGATACTGTTCTGTGGACTCAGATCGTTGTCGAAGGCTGCAGAGGTAGGAGAAATTGAAGATGATGCAGCATCATTAATTAAGAGACGTGAAGGAAGATTAGAAGGTAATGATGGAGGAGGAGGATAGCAGTCAGAAGAAACTTGGGTGCTGACAGAGTTGTGAGGGCGGTTGACACTTCCCGGCTGCCCACACCGTGGAAGGCTATTTCTTCTTAAGGTACCTGAAAGAGATTTGTGTGACCGCAGAGCCCATCGGACATCTGCTTGAGGCCTGTCACACCCAGCCTTTTGAGTATGATTATTTTGAATTTTTGTATTTTTGGGGCCGGATGGTCGAAAGGAAACGACAAGTGAACCAACACCGCCGGCCCGGCAGACCGTGGGGCGTGGTGGAGTGTGTTATTTTTGGGGCCGACCTTTTCTAACCCCCCCTTCCACTGAGAAGGCAGCATCAGCATGGCACTGCTGGTCATCCAAGGGAAACACCTTACTGCTGTCACACCCCATCCAGCTAGCAGCAGTACGACTTCGCCCTCAGACCCCCATCATAGTGTAGCAATTTACACTATAACGGTAACTGCTTTTCGTCTAACCACTACCCAACAGACCTTTCTGGTATGGTAGGACCTCGAGGGAACAAGCGTTCCACCAGCATAGCTCGTTGGGTCATTGTGATATGCAAGCCCGACCACCACGTCAAGGTAGCAGCTATCGGTCGGTGTTATTTTATTCTTCAAATATAGTCTTTCTTGCTTTGTTCAAATATTTTTTGCTGTAGTCAAACAATCGCGTGGAAATATTTTTGTGCGCATTACTACTGACTTTTTAATCGTTATAAAGTAAAGGTACGTGTACAGAGTTCATTTACCCTAGAACTGGTTGAAAGAAGCGTACAAGTGGTCAGTATCTTACATGGCGCCGTAGGATGAAGGATAGTTGTGTTGGGTTAGACTCTACTGGTGCTGTACACTTCCGTTCGCGAGATAACACAACTCACTCGCTCGGGGTGATAGTAGATATGGCTAAGAGTGTAAACCATTGGTGATCATGCTGCAACTTTCTTATTTACTCTATTACTGAAAGGTAAAACGATAGTAATGAATGCAGCTGTGAGACCAATTCTATAATAACCCATATTAATTCTTGTTTTCGTTCTTTCATTTTCGCCGTATCACATTTTGTCTTAATGTATCTTTATCATTCTTTTATGGTGCATTTTTTGATGACGTGTTGTATCAAGTTTGTGCTTTAAATGATAATGAAAGAAGTAAAGATACATATTTTGGTAATCAAGGGAATTTTTTTATCATCAAAGTGCAGCTTAAACTGTTGTAGTTGCTTGGTGAAGAAAACATTATAGTCGACCAAGTTGCAAGCTTTCACCTACTGAGATGACTTTAACATGTTGTTTTGCATATCGACCCCAGTGCCTACTTCAATGGACTATACTGACTGAAATAAGATCATATTAGACGAAAGCTAAGGGTGGCCAGACGACGACATGGCATCAATCCATAAAGTCTTTGACGGTTATTGTGAACTGTGTACGAAAAATTCAGGCTTCCACGTTGGGGTCCACGTGACAATTCATGCATTTTTCTAAACTAGGTGACATGCCTATGGATCGATTTCATTGACACAGACACTCACTTCCTCATTTTAATCACCATATATCATGTCATCTTTGGTTTATTCCTTTCTTTTGTTTTTATGCATCCATACGTCTTTTGTTATATTGTCCTTTTACTTAATTGTCTTTCATCTTGTGACTTTTTTCTCATTATTTAGACATTAGATCACTTACTATCGCTTTGTCATGGGGATCTACGTCGAGGCATTACAATGCTGCAATGTGTCCACCAGTTAATTATGCCCTCTGATAATTCCAGTGATACAGATTGTCGTCCATCAATTACACCGAGGGAATTAGATGAAGCAGCAGCTGTTGTGCCTAGTGACTTAGTTAAACAATTTATGAAACTTCAGAAAATGGTAATTTCGACGAATTGCAAGTTATCATTAAAGTGAGTTAGATTTCCCTGGCTACTATATTCATTTTTCTTTCGAATATTTCAGTCGATATATGAAAATGCTAATCATTGGTTTGAACACTCGACATCTGAGTAATAAATACAGGTTTTGAACCCGATTCCACATACTTCAGGTGTTAACGTGACACCTTTCACAACACTAATGCACAAATCTATGCGTGGTTGAGCTGTTTCGTTATTGTTATTTTAGATGGCATATAGTATCTGTGACTTGAATTGTAATCTTCATTTGTGTTGACCTGCTTGCCATTGTATTTCAGATATGCGCCTATCATGAAGAGTGCATAGAATTTTCATTCTCTTCAGTTTGACAGATTGATTTTCGTACCATCTTAGCTTGCGAATTATTAAGCTAAGTCATGAACGAAATATATTTGTGAATTCTTGTCCAAGTAAGAAAGTAAGCTTCCGAAGTTTTGCGACCTTGCGAAAGCTACTTCTTGAAAGAAAAAAGCTCTGTATCACCTGAAAGGGCGTCTTCCAAAACGTTTGGAAACGTCAGGAATTCATTTTTCTACTTCATTGGGATTTGACGACATTTATTTTCAGTGACCAACGTATTCATCAATTGGATCAGACTGAATTTTGATCTCTAAGTTGACAAAGTAGTCTGTCGTTATTAATATGCAAAGAACGTGCCTGATTTGGGTTTCTGGTAATTTTGCACCTCTGCTAACTAAGTTAGCAGAGGTGCAAAATTACCATGATAATGTCGAGTTATGTCTAGTAGCGGGATTAAGCATATACTCTCCACTTTATATTGCAATTTGCTGACCTCTTGCTTCACAAAATTTGTTTCACATGTTGTCAGCACGCAGCTATGCTCTGTAGATCATGGTGATAAAACTTGGTTGTGCATGTAGAAATGAGTTTTCAGTATGGATTAGCACAGTATGATTCAGAGTTGAACCAATAATAGTGACGCGATGTCAATTGCTGCTGACGATTATCTTACACAATCATCGACTAATCGAAAGAAACCAGAAAAGAAATCGCAACGAATTTATTGATTATCTCGTGTCTTCAAGTTTAGTGCCAAAAGGTTTCCTTGCTGCGTGTTTCCATAGCCTATTTAGTCTACTTGGTAAGAGTTTGGTCCCACCTGTAAACCACTTCACTGCTCTGACCTGAAGGTGGTATTCAACTCCGTCGACCAAGATGTCCTATCATAATACCTCACTGAAGGGAATGTTGGGTAAGGACATCACTTTGTTTTCGACACCTGTGGGCATCAAAGCCTCTTGTAAGGATTCAGGTAATTTGTGTATTTTAGGTGGTGTCCTTCAAGAATGCCCTCTCTCTCCATTTTTATCTAATCTTGCTACCTTCTTGGACTATGGAGATCTTCCTCTCTACATGCTACTCTACAGGGTGGACTTTATTACAAATGAATCCTAGGCAAACCTAGGGTACGCAGATGATCTACTCCTGCTAGGTGGAGATGCTGACAAAATCCGGAGTCTTCTAAATACGTTCAGTAACAATTCAACAATAATTGAAATGTGTTTCTCTCCACCCAAATTCAGATTTTTGTTCCTGGACTGGTCTGCAATGGTTCCCCACTTAAGGTGCTCAGTATAGTGGTTGGATGAGTTTTCCGACTCACGCCTGAGAAGTTGGATCAGTCAAGTTGAGTCAGTGAACGGCAAAATCTCTGCACCATTTCAAAAGGTTCACTTGGCTTTTGCAAACTTATGCGTTCACAGCGCAGGGGTGATATCTGACTACTACGACTTAAGTGTACTATGCGTCACTTTGCCCTTTCGTACTATAGCCATTAAAAGTCGAGAGGACAATGAGGCTCCAAATTTTAAACCACCTTTGCTTTCGTAGCACAGGTTGTCGTCATGGAACCATTATGTCAGCTACACAGAAGAGATAAGGTTATGAGTCTTCATCGACTCTGATACCTCGGGCATGTTTTGAACACACGTTATAAGCGACTACCCCATCGCGCAATGTTATTTGAAGTAGGTTTAGGTTGGAAACGTTTGGAGGTGATCAGACCAAAAGCATTCCAACGGATAAAGTCTGACTGTTGGTTTGAGCTAGATGGGAAAATGTTGACTCTCCGGTTGCGATCCGTATGACAACTGAATCCGGTGGTTGAAGATTCTAGGTGTTACGACTCTGGGTCGATCTCAGTGATGCAGATGCATTCAAAAAAAACTTGATCTGATCATCATATCGAATTTTCTGTTTATTTATCCATCCTTTCTCTCTTTCTGTGATCGTTGACGAGATTTCTTTTTCCAAATCCAGTATCTTTTATTTTGTTGCCTTGATGTGCCAACGTAAGGTGTGGCAACTTGGGCTGTTGCTCAGTAAATGCTAGGTCCCACGTTTATCCTGATTAACTGTCTGATTATCCGCCAATATAAGCTTTAATTGTCTTCCTTAAAATATCCCCTATGTTGTATATATTCCATAGTTTTTTTATAATTTTTTATAATTGATTATTATCTTCAATATATTTGAACTGTAGAATATATTGCTGGAGGGTTATTCAGCACACCAGACCACTTATCAACTGCATGACCACATAATCAATGATGAAAACTATCATGTACGCAAAAGGCATCCATTCTAGAATGTTTGGCTGTAAGTTGAATTGTACATGAAATCAGTTTGATTATCTATAATCAAATTCTGTCGTACTTCATTCATTACTGTGTGAAATAACTATTTTGATTAAGAATCCAAAATATGTACGCATTATCTGTATGTAAGGAGCTTTGCCTCATCATCAATATCAACATAGGACCAGCCATTATTGCGTAATGGTCCGAGTTATCACACCTCATATCACTACATCAAGTAAAAGGCAGTGAAGTGCAAGATGAAGAAAAGAATATTCAGTCAAAAGGAATATAAAGTACGAAAGAGAGAAAGGAAGCATGACAAAATGGTGGGATTCGGTAAAGCGTTAAGATGAGGATAATGTGTGTATACATCTGTGCCACTGACATCGGTTCTCAGACATATCACCTAGAGTCTCCAACCACTGGTTCCTCTTGTCTCGCAGACCCCAATCATCTAGTCTGCATCACCCCACATGGCTCAAACTAACAGTCAGAGACTTCATGCATTGGTGCCATGTTTTAGTCTGGCCACCTCAGGCCTTTTTCCAGCCTGGACCTACTTCTGTCAACATTGTGTGACGAGGCAGACTGCAACTAGACATGCGTAACACGTGTCCCAACCATCTCAGTCGATGAAGGTTCATAATCTCGTCAACTGACTTACCTCTTCTCCCTAAAACTCTTCACATGACTTCTGCGTCACTCACGTGATGACACCACGGAATACGGCCTATACTTCGAAGGCAACGGTGGTCAAACACATGAAGCCTTTTCATGTCTTCCACCTTCAATGGGCATGTTTCACAGGCATGCAGTAGAACAGAGCGAACTGCTATGTGGTACACGCGGGACCCTTAATAAACAATCGGATATCATGGCGGCGCCATAGGTGGTGCAAGTTGGCGAAAACAGGCCGGGCCTTTAGTATTCGTGCAGAGATTTCATCGGCCACTGAGCCAGCCACCAGGGCTGATTCTACTTCTCAGGCAAGTGAAGTATGTGAGGACTAACAACAACTGCATCGCATACTGGAACCCTGCTTCACTTACCGAAGTTTGAGCAACGGGACTGTATAACAAGTTCGTATACAATACGTGTGTCACGTAGCCTAGGGCATGGTTAAGTAATTATTGTCGTATATTTTTCCGCAACGTTTTGTTTGATATATTCTTTCAGGATTGAATCTCATGCTTATTCCATATCGATTTAGATGAAAAAGTTCCAACAACTGACTACCCTAATTCAAGAAGAGGAGTACCGTTTTAAACACTAAATTCATTTCTAAAATTCCAAGCTTTTTCTCTACGTTCTAGTCAAGTAATCTACTGGTAGGGATTTTGAAATCGACCAACTGGATCCAAATAGTTGGAGGTTCTACGTTAGTTGATTGGCTATCAACAAATTAGTTGATAAAATTTCTATTGGAGACATATATCTCTCTGGCTTCAGCACTCGACTTTCAAGCAGTATATTTGAAGTTATAACCCTGAAAGCGGTTAGTATCATAATTCAAGCTAACGGAAGTGTGGCTCACATCTGTGAGCAGTCTAAGGCTTTTCTTATGTTCATCCCTATCTGTCAGGCGTGTCACGGATGTTGGCTTGACACGTCGAAATATACGCCCCTAAAATCTTATCCATGGCAAATTTATAATGCCATCCATCAGTGCATCGGTTAAGCCATAATCCAACTTTCTAAAGTCATTGCAAATCCCCAATAAAGTGAATGGGTTATTCACTGAAGTCAGTCTAGGTAATTCGCGAAACCTATACCTAGTCTTCTGGTTCTTGATCAGACCATTTCAACAACACAGCCTCCTCGCCTACACTGAGTTTTCTTAAAAAATCGAGGATCAAGTTGCCACATTTTACAGTAGTCTACAAAGAACAGGTGGATAGAAAAGTAGTGGTGCTAAAGGAGATTAAGTAGTGTGAGAAGATAAACAATCTGAAAATAAGTTTGTTGTGAATATTCATGGTTTAGAAGTTGTCAAGGAGTGAATACATCTGCGCCATTGTGACCAGTTTTCAGCCATGATACCAACAGTCCCCAACCACTGATTCCTTTCGTCTCGGGAACCCCAACCAGGCAATCTAATTCGCCCCATACGGATCAGACCAACAGTAAGAGACTTCATCGACTGGTGACAGGTCTTGTTCTGACCACCATGAACCCTCTTCCAACCTAATCCAACTTACCGTAGTATGCCACGTTGAGGAAGATGGTGGATCTGTATGCGCAATACATGTCGAAGTTATCTCAGTCGACTGAAGTTCACAACCTCATCAATCGAATTGCTTGTATTGCCCAGCAACCCTCGCCTGAACTTAACATTGCTCACGCGGTGATTCTACCGAACGCAAGTAATACTACGAAGACAAATGTGATTGAAACCCAACGAGCTGGTTCTCTCGAGATCTTACCATACCGGAAAGGTCTGTTGGATGGTGATAAAGAGGAAAGGAGTTACTATTATAGTGTAAGTTGCTGCATTATGTTGGGGGTCTGAAGGGATAGTCGTACTACTGAGTGCATGGTGTGACAGCAGTAAGGATGACCAGCAGTGCCACGCTGATGCTGCTTTCCCTATCGGAAGTGTTCGGGCTCAGAAAACGGTTGGCTCGATAAATGGCGCATTTGTCCCTGCCTCAAAGTCTTCCAGTGCCGGTGAAGTGGATTGTCTCTATATAGGGTTAGAAGAAGTGAATCTTTAAGCAATATTCCACCCTGTATGACAGGCCTCAAGCAGATGTTTCATGGACTCTGCAGTCATGCACATCTTTTTTTTTAGGTACCTAAAGAAAAATAACCTTCCAGGTTTGGACACCCAGGAAATGTCACCGCCAGCAACCTTCCAGTAGTAAACAAGACCCAATCAATAATAGCCTACTCTTCTCAACTCTGTCTCCTCCTTTGCCTTCACCTTTTTCTAATATTAAGCCTCTTACACCTTCCCCAAACACTTATTCTGCGACCTTTAGGAACAATCAAAGCCTTTGGAAGCTCATTCCTAATCTACTAAGACCCCTCCGTCTATTTCATGCATGAGCTTTCAGCGTCTGAACTGCGTGCCAAATCGGACAGCAATTGTCGCTCGCCAAAACTCTGGAATCTCTAGCTATAGGTGTATGCTGTGTTTCTGAGACACATATACAGAACCCGAGTATGGTTGTTAAATTGACATCACCTGGCTTTAGTAGCGAATCTTCAAAATTAACCGTATGAGTATCCTAAGATCCATTGGCTAGTTCTAGTGGGCTCCCTGGTGTAGGGATTGCATTGAGTTTTAGAACGGAAAATGTGCTTCTCAACTGAATATCAGTGAACAGCCGTTTGTGTGCTGTTCAACCTAATTGATTTGTAAGAACCAAGAAGGATCGTTAAACTAGGCGATGCCTAATCTGTTCCTACGCACCCACTGACTGGATTTCGGATGCTGCATACGATGAATTCTATGGAAGGTTGTCAATTTCACTACAGAAAAGAAACTCTCAAGTAAGGAAACTGAGCTGATCGGAAAGGCATCTTGGTATTTACGGAATCTCATGCCAGCGAACCACCAACAGTGATCGTCTGTTGCAATTTTGTCCGACGATCGCTTGTTTCTCGCCAGCACTAACTTCAGGCATAAGCAAAGACATTCTCTCATATAGCGTCCACCAACGTCAAACCAACGTTGGATACATGTTGATCACATCGCCATGATCCATTGTTGGAGAGGATCAGCGGAGGGTTCCTGCTTTTTCTGGATTACCAGTTTGGACTGCAATCACGCATTGGTACGGACTCGTGTATGTCCTACACCTTACTGGTTTCAGGAAAAAGCGATAGTAAACCCTTTCTGTGGTCGGTTGAAAGATGAGAACGTCAAATATGCATCTAGGGAAGATACAGCTAAGCACTTATCTTAACGGGACATTAGTGTTCACCCTGGGAAAAACGTGGCGTGATATTCAGTCTGCTGTAGAAACAGCAGTAGTGATAGTTGGTAACCTGTACGCAACGACATCCGAGATGATTGATACGAAAAGGCTGATTTCAGCTGTCTGTAACCACGATGAAGAGCGAAAGCGACTTTTACTTAAGTTCACCAACAGTCTTCACGTCGATCGCGAGTAGCGGTGGGTGACGAGATCGAGTGAGATGGAGAAGACAGTAGCGTTAGTTAACATTGTTTAGGCTTATTAAAAAGACCGACAGGAAGAAAACGATGGTTAGTGAAACCATCACCGAAAGGACGGAACGCTGACAGGTGGATGCCAGAACGTTGGGCAGAACACTTTAAAGCACAGTCCGACTGACCCTCAGCAACGTTTCAGTTACACAATATATAGCGTGAACCTGAATTGGATGCAGATGTCGGTCCTCCAACTCTCCTTGAAGTTAAGAAGGTCTTCCAAGGCAGCTGGACCTGACAATTTGTCACCCGACATTTTCAGAGATGGAGGCAAGAAATCGCTGCTTAAGATATCGGATGTACTAGGTAGTGTATGGAAATCAGAGGTACCGTCCCTAGACTGGTATAGTTCACTGATCACTCCGGTCTATAAGAAGGAGAAAAAACCTTTTTGTAACAACCATAGGGGGGACCTGTTTGACTAATATTGTGTCCAAGATCCTGGGATCCATAGTTATGTGACTCATGAGTGGAGCTCGAGAACAGCAATTTCGAGGAAACCTGGCAGGTTTCAGGCAGACTTGGACTAGGATGAATCGATCATATTTTTTCCCTCTGGTAGGTTCTGGAACACAGACATACCTACCGACCAATGCCCATCATTTCCCATATTTGTTGACCTAAAGGCGGTATTTGATTCTGTTGACCGTGAGGTGTTTTGGCAGCGTCTGATTGTGAGGGGGGGGGGGAAGGAAAGTATTGAGCAAGTATATAACGTAAATCAAAGGTCTCTCAGCTGCTTTGGGATTTATCGATATTTGCCATCAGAACTGATGATAACTAGGGAGTTTCCGCAGTGGATGCTGACTGTCACCGTTCCTACTTAACTTCATCATAGACGTACTAATGGACATAACCTTAGATACGAATAACTTCACATGGACTGCTTTACTCCATGGGGGTCATCTGATTGAAATGGAGTATGCTGATGATATCGTCTTGCCAGGTTAAGAACGCTGACCAAATCCTGGGTCTTGTGAATGCGTTGAGCAGAAATCTCAGAATGGTTAGCTGGCACTTGTTTCACACCTATAAAATGTAAGATGATGCTACAGAAGTGGTCTACAACAGCTTCCAGTTTAATTGTAGAGAGTGAAGTGGTGGGATGTTCCGACCACTTAAGTTCCTTCGGGAGTTCCCTCAGCTCGAACAAGCTGTCTGCTGACGGAATTTCGGGTTGTATTCAGAGGGCCCATTCGGTGTTAGCATATATGCGTCATCAACCTGGCCTGGTTAACTAGTTACTGACCGGTCCTAAGCCCAGATAAAGAGGGGAGGTTGTGCATAGGGCTAGTAACCCTACCCCGTAAAACCAATCCATTCGCTAAACAAACTTCAAAGAACAAAGAAAATATAAAAAAACAAAACAAACTTATTTCTCTCTGAAATCGGGGAGACGAAATGACGCCAGTTGGTGAAAGCCTTCGGGAGGCCAGTCGGTCGATGTGTCTTCTCTCGATGAAAGCGAAAGTAGGCATAGAGACATTGAATGTCCGCACCATGTATGAACCTACCAAGGCTGTCCAGATTGCGAAAGAGATGAGGAGATATGGCATGGAAGTGCTAGGAATATGCGGAAGCAGATGGAATGGAAGTGGACTCTCCAAACTGTCGACTGGATAGTCAGTTATCTACTCCGATATTTTCACCCAGATGACAACCACCAGCACAGCACACTGAGTTATGAAGTTGCTATCATGATGTCCCTAAGACCATCGAAGGCTCTCATACACTGGGAACCAATCTCCTCCAGGATCATGACAGCAAGGTTCAACTCAAAAGGAAGGAAAGTCACAATCATACAATGCTGCGCCACGCTACGCACCTACAAACAATGCAGATCAAGAGAAGAAGGAGGAATTCTACAGACAACTGCAATCAGTAATAGACAAGACCCCACCCCAGATGGCGACATCAAAATTCTAGTGGGTGGGGTGAGATGAATGCCAAACTGGGAGGGGGGGACAACACAGGAAGAGAACTCATCATGGGTCGAGAGGCACACGGTGAAATGATGAACGAGAATGGAGAACTGTTTACAGACTTCTGTGCATTCAACGATTTAGTGATTGGAGTCAGGCAGTGTGTACGAACACAAGGATATTCACAAGGCAACGACATGGATTTCACCAGACACCAGGACACACTAGAAACCAGATCGACTTCATCTCAATGTGAAGAAAGTGGAGAGGCAGTCTACTGGTCACAAGATCAGATCAAGAAGAGAGAGGAGCAGATGTAGGTTCGCACCACTCACTTCACTACCTAGTGCAAGGAACCTACCTTCCAAATCAAGTTGAAAGCCTCAAAAGAAGCTGGTGATAGACGACCACAGTTCAAGTTCAACAACCACCTAGAACAGAGACTGAACTGAAGGACGAAACTACAAAGGAGATTTTCACGTCAGTCAGCCATCAAGACAAAATGGGAGATATCGAGGAACATCCCTGAAGAAACCTGTATGGAAGAACACTGGAGCTCTTTGAAAGCTATATGGAAGGAAACCTGCATAACCGTATTAGGGAGGAAGAAGAAGAAGAGGCGAAAAAAGGAATGGATCTCGACGGACACATGGAAGCTGATAGAACAGGGAGAGGAAGATGGTGAAGCAGAAGATAAACCAGTGCAGTGTAGGGATGAACAATAAAAGGAGGAACTGAATACAACATATAAAAAAACACTGGACAAAGAAGTGAAAAAGAGTGTATGGAAAGACAAAAGACACTTCTACGACACATTGTCAAGTGAAGTAGAACAGGCTGCAGGTAGGAGAGACCTGACAACACTATATCAAATAACCATGTTAATTACTATCTGGGAAGAGATCAATACAGATGAAACCAATGAAAGATAGTCAAGAAAACGTAGTTATCAAAGAGGAGAAACAAAGGAAATGATGGGCTGACCACTTCAAAAAACTCTTGAATCGACCACCATCTGCAACTCGTCCAGAAACACCACCAGCAGCCCAGCCACAGAAATATCAAAGAACACAAACCCACCGTCAAAAGCAGAAGTGAAGTCCCGAACGCCATAAGGTTGCTGAAATCCGGGAAAGCAGCAGGACCAGATTGAATTCCTCCAGAAGCACTAAAAACAGACCCAGAAACAACAGCGGACGTGCTCACACCACTACTACAGAAGGTTTGAAAGGAAGGAAAGGTATCTGCAGCGTAGAAGAAGGGCTACCTCGTCGAACTTCCAAAGAAGGGAGACCTAAGTCTTTGCAAGAACTGGCGAGGAACCACGCTCCACCCCTATCCACCGCAAGCAAAATATCATACCACATCATCCTTTAAAGACTAAAAAATGTTGTGTATTCGAAATTACGACGTGAACAAGCTGGCTGGCTTCAGGAAGAATAAATCATATGCGGATCAAATTTCAACGCTATGCTACGCATTATCATAGAACAGAGAATAGAATGGCAGTCCACTCAACTCTACCTCAACTTCATCGACTTTGAAAAGGCCTTCGACAGCATCAACCGAAAAGTAATTTGGCAGGCAGTTGCTGCAACACTACTGAATACCACAAATCTTTATCAACCTCATTCAACAGCTATATGGAGATGCCACATTCCAAGTGATTCACAATGGGAGAAGCTCAGTGGCGCCTTTGAAGTGAAGACAGGAGACAGGAGTAAGACAAGACTGTCACCTATTATCACCCATGATCATCCTGATTGTGGCTGACTGAACTAAACTGGATCATGCAAGAAACAGTGAGTAGCAAGAAGAGGAGCATACGCTGACAGAAGAGGCAGCGAAGATGGGACTTCAATTGAATGTAGAGAAGACAGCAACAAGCATCAATCACCACCAACGCGAGAAACCTAAAGGAAGTAGCCTCTTTCACCTAACTTCCTAGGCAGCATCGTTTCAACTACAGGCGGCACAGATGAGGATGTCAAAACCAGGATCGGAAAAGTGAGACAGGCTTTCATTAATCTGACAGCAGTGTGGAGGTCTACTGCACTGCACTCCACTCAGCATAAAGCGTGAACAAGATCAGGATTTTCAACACTAATGTCAAGTCAGTGCTTCTATGTGATGATTCAGAGGTTTGGCGAGTTACGAAAAGCATTTCCAACAGACAACAGACATTCATCAACAGCTGCCTACGCTCACTCGATACTGAATATCAGATGGCCAGAATAGTAAGAATAAGCAACGAGGAACTCTGGCTGGCTGGCAACGAACCATCCAAGAACCTATCACCCAACAAATATGCAGAAGAAAGTGGAGATGGATTGGACCAGGCATTCACTGAGAAGACCGATTGGGGACATCATGTGCCAGGTCCTCGAGTGGAACTCAAATGGCAATCGACGAGTTGGGCATCCGAGGGTGACATGGAAATAGTGTGAGGAAGAAATGAAAGCTTGTGAAGAGTGGTGGAGAGGGTTTGAAAAGACTGCAATGGAGGACTGGTATACTGCTCTGCTATCCGTTCTGTCCTGTTATATGACTGTGAGATATGGCCGTTAAAAGTAGAAAACATGAAGCGATTATAAGGTTCCGATCACATTTGTCTTCGTAGTATTACTTGCGTTCGGTGGAATCACTGCGTGAGCAATGTTAAGTTCAGGCGAGGGTTGCTGGGCAATACAAGCAATTCGATTGATGAGGTTGTGAACTTCAGTCGACTGAGATAACTTCGACGTGTATTGCGCATACAGATCCACCATCTTCCTCAACGTGGCATACTACGGTAAGTTGGATTAGGTTGGAAGAGGGTTCATGGTGGTCAGAACAAGACCTGTCACCAGTCGATGAAGTCTCTTACTGTTGGTCTGATCCGTATGGGGCGAATTAGATTGCCTGGTTGGGGTTCCCGAGACGAAAGGAATCAGTGGTTGGGGACTGTTGGTATCATGGCTGAAAACTGGTCACAATGGCGCAGATGTATTCACTCCTTGACAACTTCTAAACCATGAATATTCACAACAAACTTTATTTTCAGATTGTTTATCTTCTCACACTACTTAATCTCCTTTAGCATCACTACTTTTCTATCCACCTGTTCTTTGTAGACTACTGTGAAATGAAATAAGTTGAAACTATGCATTTGTGTGCGAGGTTACGTTGTTATTTTGTGAGTCTATTAGTCATTCATAATGAAATGTTGCCTTTGGGTGTCATGTTCTCAGTCGTATCTTTCTCGTGATAGAGTAAAACTCTTACGAACACTTTCTTTGTTCCTATGTATTATTTATTCAGTTATTAATTTTCCACTTTGGTAGTTGTTTAGGCTATTCAGTTGTCTGAGCCAAATCATTCGGAATGCATCGATGCTGAGGGACTTAACATCAAAGAAGTAAGAAGACCGTTTGTCGTTTAGATCACCTTGATCTGGCTATCAAACCCCACTACTGATTGGTCAAAGTGGTTGCCAGCTGCTCACATCAGCTGGTAATTCTTTTCTTTACATAGTGCTGGTTCATATATATGAGAAGTTGAAAGTACTAAGAACCCCAAACTAGTAATGCAATTAAAATTATTATTGCTCTCAAACTGCTGATTGTCTCATCTTACGATTACTTGAAAAAAATTATTGGTACTTGCCAATCATTCTTTTACGAAATTATTTTAAACATTTTTGGTTTTAGATTGCTGACTCTCGGTTAATTGATGGAGCTGATGAATATCTTCAACTCTTGGCAGTTGGAGGCACCCTTTTGAAAACTATTCAGTCGAAATAATAGATTATGTACCACTACTAATTTTCACTGCAGAGACATTTTATAAATAAATATTTCATATTATGACTAATATTTTCCTCTTTTTCACTGATCCCTCTTGGTTGTGGTTGGCAGTGTATGTAAACCCTACGGAATGAATAGAAAAGTAAAAGTTGACCACTATGGTTGAGAATTATTTGATTGTTTAGTATCTGGAGAGTAACCACTTTCATTGAATTCCGTTGGTTATTTTTCAGTGTGATCACCAAACTACGAGACTCACCATCGAGGCAAAATTTGGTTGGGTGGCTGGAAACTCTAGACCTATAGTTTTGTGCTCGATGGCACTCATCAGCAAGGGGTTTCTGGACCCTATAGGGAACTTATGTCCTCCCATTAAAAGGTCTTTAACAGAGTGGTGTGCTTACTTAGTACCATTTTCATAGAGAGACACTCCTATATAACCTCTCGATCGAGAGAGTCGAACACCACCTTTTGATTGAGAAACACAGCTAGTGTCGGGCTTCGGTAAATGTACCTGTGTTCCGGAACCTGGCGGATTGTGAATATCCGGACGATATACTCATTGGCAATGTCTGAAGCCTACCTCGGCTCTTGGGCTCTCGCCGTTTCCGACCTGCACTCAGACGTTCAATGATTTGACGGCTGAGAATCTTGGACAGTGTTTTTTCAGGCTGATTTCTCTGTGGTTATCACAGGAGGACTTCTTACCTTTCTTGAAGATGGACAATTAGTGATTGAAACCAATTAGTGGGGATAGTATCTGACTTTCACAACGTGCTAACACCTCAGCTAATTCGACTAAAAATCCTTGTCCCCCGTCTCAAAATACCTTCTCAACTAGTACATCTGGCCCTCCTGCTCTTCTTCATCCCAGGTTAGCTACCGCTTTCTATTCTTATGCAAGTATTGGAGGTTCTGTCTCGATGTTCCATTCAGTCTACGACTAGGTGGTGGGCAACGGGTAGCTAAAGACCAGTCGAAGTGTTCCACCCATCTTTCCATTCGTCTCCCCTGCGAGTGAATTGCAGACCCGTCCTTCTGTATCGTCTCACTAACCATTCACCTTTTCGCCCTAGTTTCTTTGCTACGTCTAAATAGCCGCCTATCTCTTCAACCACTGTTCATTATCACTGCGTAGAACTTTTGTCAGCGTATACTTGGGTTGCGTTCGTTTCTCACTGTCTCACAGCCTGCAGGGATGCATTTGCGTGCATCCATTAATTCAGAAGGGCCTGCTGATATCCATCGCCTTTTTCTAACCACTCTTTCAAAGTCGGCTATGGTCTTCAATAGCAGACTGGAGGTAGCACCAGGCTTCTTCTGGATGAGTGCTGTTATGTTCCGATAACTGCTCAGCCACTTTCTGACTGAAAGGGGTCCAGGGCTGTCATTATCAGGCTGCACTCCTAATGGTTCTTTTGCTAAAGTTTTTCTACGTCCATTAAGACAGAACTATATACGCTCCAACCAACGCGTGGTCGCTATCCAAAGACGTGCTCCAGAAGGAGCGGTGGTCTTCCACCGACCCTCTCCAGCGATGGATGATAACAAAATGGTCTATCTGTGTCCGTAACTGAGTTGAGCTCGGTGGATGCCACGTCAGACAATGCCTTTCTTTCTAAAGTTTGTGCTAGCTAAAAATAAATGGTTATCTGACCACAGTTACAGTAGGCGGTCACCGTTATCCGTTCTTTCAGCCAGGATTCCGAAAATGCCACCTCACTGCCTTTCTACTTGACTCACCCTACCCACTTATGCATTGAATCACCTGCAACAACAACCACATCTGAACCGTTGGCTTTCAGAAGAAGACGAGACAGTTTTCAGTAGAACTCATCCGAACTGCAGTCAGTGGATACGTCTGCAGAGATTACAAAGCGACAACGGCGAGTTTCACTGTTCCTTTTAGTCCTCACCCTGGTGTTCAGACCCAGTCTAGTGGTGAGCTTTCTGCCCTAGTGCTTAATGCTATACCTACACCTTCTGACAAGATGCAGAGTCTTCTGAACACTTTGATTGACAAATTGTTGCTCCATGGTTGGTTTTCAGTGCCTCGGCTAACGTTAACATTAGAGAGCGTAGTGGTTGAGTGTGTTGACCACTTCACTTACCTAGGAAGTAACCTCAGTGGCCGATGTTGCGCCGCCGTAATATCCGATTGTTTATTAAGGGTCCCGCGTGTACCACATAGCAGTTCGCTCTGTTCTACTGCATGCCTGTGAAACATGCCCATTGAAGGTGGAAGACATGAAAAGGCTTCATGTGTTTGACCACCGTTGCCTTCGAAGTATAGGCCGTATTCCGTGGTGTCATCACGTGAGTGACGCAGAAGTCATGTGAAGAGTTTTAGGGAGAAGAGGTAAGTCAGTTGACGAGATTATGAACCTTCATCGACTGAGATGGTTGGGACACGTGTTACGCATGTCTAGTTGCAGTCTGCCTCGTCACACAATGTTGACAGAAGTAGGTCCAGGCTGGAAAAAGGCCTGAGGTGGCCAGACTAAAACATGGCACCAATGCATGAAGTCTCTGACTGTTAGTTTGAGCCATGTGGGGTGATGCAGACTAGATGATTGGGGTCTGCGAGACAAGAGGAACCAGTGGTTGGAGACTCTAGGTGATATGTCTGAGAACCGATGTCAGTGGCACAGATGTATACACACATTATCCTCATCTTAACGCTTTACCGAATCCCACCATTTTGTCATGCTTCCTTTCTCTCTTTTCGTACTTTATATTCCTTTTGACTGAATATTCTTTTCTTCATCTTGCACTTCACTGCCTTTTTACTTGATGTAGTGATATGAGGTGTGACAACTCGGACCATTACGCAGTAATGCCTGGTTTCAGAAGATCAAGAGTGCTGTTATATGAAATCAGATCTAGACGAAGTTGCAGAGCAGGGGGAAATTAATGATAATGTAGAATAAGTGACTCAGATGTAAAAAAAGACTATAAGGTAAGGATGCATGTGGGAGACCTTTAGTGCTGCTGGAGTTACTGTCATCTCCTTTTATCGTACCACCTGATATCGACCGTCATGTAAGAAACCTTCGGTAAAAGAAACGATGTCGAACACCTAACTCAAAGAGCAACTGGCGTAAAAACTAGGGGAGCGTGAAAATGTGACTGATACAGAAGAAGTATTTCAGGACAACGGTCAAAGATTATCGGTCGGACTAACTAGTGTTGACTAGTGCAGGGCAATCCGATATGATCCTATCTAGCTGGCCTCAATCACACACATACACACACAGGCGACCAATCCTCCTGTGATAATCACAGAGAATTAGTCTAACAAACATATTGTCTAGGATTGTGGGTTCACTAATCGTTGAACGACCAAGTGAAGCTCAGGAACAGAAAACCAGATAACTTCCCAGACCTAGTCATGGGTGTATTGACTAGATAATGTTGAGCCTTCACCAGTACGAGTTCCGCCCCCCCCCATCATATTGCAGAAACTGACACCGGAATGGTAACCACTTTTGTCTTATCACTATCCAAAACTATCTGGTATCGTTCCAGTTAGTGTAGGTCACTGGGCATTGTTATATATAAGCCTGACTACCACGCCAAGGTATCAGCTTTTGGTCAAATTGACTACTAACTGTGAAATCAAGTGAGATTCCCTAGATTTCCAGTCACTGATATTTCAGTGTGATTATACAATAACATCAGAGAATAACAAATATGTCAATAAACAGTAATGATTATACAATAGTCGTCTAGTAGTTGACGGTTTTAACAACACTAGGATAACTTATAATTCACTATTAATATTTTTGCTACTATCATTATCATCATTTATTATAACACAAACATTGTACAAAAAGAGGACCAAGAAATGCAACACACAAAATAATATAATAATATTACGAAGATGTAAAGCGAAGTGAATCGGATAAATAAAAAGAAAAACATTAAAAGAATAGAATGAGTAGAATGCCAGTCCAATTAGATACATTCAAACGAAACATTCATTACTTTTCAGCGGCAGAAGATCAAACGAAGCCACAGCATAGCCACCACTGGTTTCGACCCTGTGCCATGTCTCTTAACGTCTGAAACCATTGAATTGCATGGTCTCTCGGACCGCGCCCAGGAAGTCGTGATGCACCAACAAATGCTAACGTGGTACAAATATCCTTCATACCAAGTTTGGATGGCATGCGTAACACATATCCAAGCCACCAATGCCAGTGTTTCCAGATGACTTCACTTATTGAACGACGACCTCCACCATCATGCTCAAACACATGCTGTCGTACCTCAGAATTACCTACACGGTGTTGCCACCGGATACAGGCAATCCAACGGAGACAACGATGATCGGACACGTATAGTTGTAGCACATCTTCAGCTCAGAGAGGTCAGATTTCACAGGTGCAGAGTATAACTACTCGCACTGAAGTCATGTAAACCTGATCTTTAACGGACAGATTTACCTTGTGATGGCACCAATGTGATGTGGATTGACATACGCCTCTCTAGCTTTTGTTGTGTGGTTAGAAATTTCATCACTAAAACTTCGACCGGCACTCACACAAATACCCAGATACACGAACTTTCGACTACTTCCAACTACTCATCACCTGAGATAGGCTCAGACACAGGCTCCTGCCAATCTTTCAAAAGAGCCTTGCACTTGGATGGTGCAAAGTATATACCATACTTACGGACAATAACTGCCAACTAAGTGCAGTTTGAGTAACTCGTTTGTCATCTCTCAGACGATATCATCCGCACACTCAAGGTAGAAAAGCCGTTGTCTGAGTAGTGGACCTACACCACTGTCACGGTCCTCTTTCGGAGTTGTCTCAAGAATGTCATATTTAAAAGGAATGGAGAAGTCGGGCAACCTGCGTAACCCTACAGCTGATTTGGAACAAAGGAAACATGTGGCTCTATGCCTTCAATTTACCTGAGGTGTTATTATATAAGCCTATCAAGCTGAAGAATTTCTCAGACACACTTCTCACTAACGGACAACTCCA